GGGGGTCCCGGCAGCCTCGTGTCCCCCCCCCTCCTCCATTAGGGTCGCGCTGCGGGGAGGAGACCTGCCTCGAAGTGACATGGGGGGGGCCGGGGACGTGTGGGACCCCCGGGGGGGGGCACTCAGGGCCAGGAGGGGGTGCTGGGAGGGAGGAGGGGGGGGTATGGTCCCGAATCCCCCCCCGCCACGGCCCCGCTGCCCCCGCATTTGGTCCAGAGGAAGGCGAGGGGTGCAGGGACATGCATGGGGACGGGGTGTCCCTGGCCCCCCCCCGGTCAGGGCAGCGCCAAGGGGACTCCCCCAGCCCCCATCCCCCCCCCCTCCTCTCCTGGGGCTCTGCCCCCGCCCCCCCCGGGCGTTATATAGAGCTCTAATTCCACGCACGCACACACGAGATCCGAGGGGAACCAGGGGGGACCCCGAAAAAGGCGAAAAACCCCACAGCAACCGGTGCCAGAAGAAAGCAAAACCCAGCCGGGGCGGGGAGGGGGCGGCCGGGGGGGGGCCCGGCGGGGGCCCGGGGGGGGGGGGCCCGGGGGGGCACGGGGTGGCCCCCCCTCACTTTTTGTTCTTGAGCTGGTTGGCGAGCCAGTCGAGGCCCTCGTAGAGCCCGTCCCCGCTGGTGGCACAGGTGGCCTGGATGTACCAGTTACGGTGGCGCAGGGAGTGCAGCCCCAGCTTGTCCGTGATCTCCGCCGCGTTCATGGCGTTGGGCAGGTCCTGGGGGGGGCACAGGGAGGGGCGTCACGTGCTGGCCACGACACCACGGGGACGGGCACGGCCCTGCCACGGGGGCTGGCACCAGCCCTGATGTCACGGGGAGGGACACGGTCCTGCCGTGGGGTCTCTTTGACACCAGCTTTGGTACCACAGGCATGGGCACAGTCCTGCCACGGCGGGGGCCAGATACCAGCCCTGACACCCTGGGAATGGGCTCCATGAACAGCCACCCAGATACCAGCCCTGACACCCTGGGAATGGGCTCCTGGAACAGCCACCCAGATACCAGCCCTGACACCCCTGGGAATGGGCTCCTGGAACAGCCACCCAGACACCAGCCCTGAAACCTGGGAATGGGCTCCTGGAACAGCCACCCAGATACCAGCCCTGACACCTGGGAATGGGCTCCTGGAACAGGTACCCAGACACCAGCCCTGACACCCCTGGGATGGGCACACTCCTGGCACATCCCTGATGCCACGGGGACGGTCTCAGCCCCTCCATGGGGGCCCTGCCCGCCCCCAGCCCCACCTGCTTGTTGGCGAAGACGAGCAGGACGGCGTCCCGCAGCTCATCCTCCGCCAGCATCCGCATCAGCTCCTCCCGCGCCTCGTTCACCCGCTCCCGGTCGTTGCTGTCCACCACGAAGATCAGCCCTGGGGGACAGGAGCGGGCGCTGGTGGGGTCCCTGGTGCTGGCAGGGTCCCCTCACCCCCGTGTGCCCCCACCCCGTGTCCCCCCAGGACAGTACCCTGGGTGTTTTGGAAGTAATGCCTCCAGAGGGGCCGGATCTTGTCCTGCCCACCCACGTCCCACACGGTGAAGCTGATGTTCTTGTACTCCACCGTCTCCACGTTGAAGCCTGCGGGGAGCGGCAGCAGAGGGAAACTGAGGCACGGGGAGCCACGAGCCCCCTCGGAGGAGCCCCGACGGGGAGGGGTCCGCGCTCGGTGCCCCCGCGACCCCCCCACCCACCGATGGTGGGGATGGTGGTGACGATCTCCCCCAGTTTGAGCTTGTAGAGGATGGTGGTCTTCCCGGCGGCGTCCAGCCCCACCATCAGGATCCGCATCTCCTTCTTCCCAATCAGGCTCTTGAGCAGGTTCCCGAAGATGTTGCCCATGGTGACGGCGGCGCTGGCTCCGAGGCCGGATCCTGCGGGGGCACGGGGCAGGCTGGGGGTGGCCCTGAAATCTGCGGGGAGGGGGCTGGAGGGATCCCCCCCGTGCTCCGGGGGGAGCTGCGGGGATGGGGGAGCCCCATGTCCCGAGGGGATGCAGGGCTCGGGGGACCCCAAGTAAGGGGCTGGGGAGTGGGTCATGCACTCCGTGGGGGTGTCCCTGTTGTGCAGCTCGATATAGGGGGGCTGTAAGCAGGGGGGGTCCACCCTGCAAGGGGACAGCCCAGGGTGCTGCACAGGGGGAAACTGAGGCAGAGATCGCGCCCTACTCGGGGGGAGTAGAGCCCCCCCC